GAAAAAATTTGTGTAGATATTTCGAAATTAATTTACTTATTAATATTTTTCTGATCAGTTTTCCTTGCTGATTACAAGTTTAAATTTAAGATTTCTAATTTGAAAATTAATTCTAATTTAATTTAACAATATCTACAAAGCTGAATGATAAAGCAATTTGTTTTTGAGATAAATGAATCTATTAGTTAAGATAACATTCATACGCATTTTATAACCATGATCATATAATTAAAAACCAAATTTAAGAAAATAAAATACACAGCTTCCATATTCACATGCTTGTGCATGTTTTAAGGCCCACTGATCAAATGCATGTGAAAAAAATCTAAATAATTTTTCTTTCCTTCTTTCTTTTATAGTATATACATATATATATACAAGTGTGAAACATTATATTTGGGGATGAGTCATTTGAATTACACAATTTTTTAAAAACGATTTAAGATTCAAAAACTTGTATGTTCACATATTTTTGTCATTTGAATCTTTTAAAACCTAATATAAAAATCCTCAAACTCTCCTCCCCCCCCAAAAATAAACAACTTTCACTGGCATTCAATAAATATGCTTATTGACGAATGCAACTGTTACAGTATGATTAATACCTGGATCAGCTTGCATCTGCCATAAATGCCATTTTGTCTACAGAAATCGGCCAAATTTTCAAACGAGCGTGCCGCATTCTCTTAAGAATTCTCAAATCATCTATCTTAATATTTCTGAACACATTTAACATATTACCAATAGGCTCTTAATATTTCTAGCAAATCATGCCATGGTATAAAATGGAATGTACGTTTGCACCGTATGAATGTACCATAGTTGAATAATTCAACCACGGCTGCTAATTTTTACTGAAATATATTTTGTCAAATTATGTTAGGAAAATGATCCTCAAGATTCAAGAATTTTATTTACATACTTCGTTTATTAAATTTCATTTGTAACTTCTTAGTATAAGAATACTTTTTGAAACTATACTCCTAAATTTTATTTTTCATTAAACACAAAATTTTAAATTGTTCTTTAATTAAAAGCTTTACTACAAAGTAAAAGTGTGTTTGGTAGTTTCTGATCATTTGTATTTCCATCGAAAAATCGCGAGCTTGTCACGAATTTTTCCATACAGGACACGCAAAATTCTTGTTTTACCGATTTTGGCACTGTTTTTCTCCCCAGGTATGCAGCAAATATGTTTTCATTAAAAAAATCAGAAAATATCAATAACTCAGCATCGCACCAAACTTCGGCATTAAAATCCTAAAATGAGAAATAAAAAAGGGGCTTCATTACGCTCAATGCCTGCAGTAAGTCCGAGTTTTTCGCTAAAGACAACGAAATTTGAAGTACAAGGACCACCGCTATGCTAAGACGCTGAAATTTTCACAGGAGGGATCATAATCTGCAGAAGCAGATTGCTACTGCGGGAACATTAAGCTTATATCTACCTGGGTTGCAATATAAATACTTTGGGGCAAACATATTGCATTACCTCATCAGTACTTTTCCACAGCATTTCACTAGAGGTGTGCAGATGATTAGTAAGCACCTTTTTTTCCTTTCTTTTTTTATTATGAGTATTATTTGCATTTCAAAAATTAGAGATTCAAAAGAGTCAAGAGCTTCCAGAACCTGTAAAATTTGTATTAGGATTCAGATTTGTGAAAATTTAAAGTCATTCCATTTCTAATTACACTAATACTTTCAGGCAAATTATAATTTATAAATATACAATACTACTATAATATTAATTTAGAAGTCAAACAGCAAAAGTCAGCGTTATATTTTCAAATTTTCACAGGACTAGTTTTGATGGTTTTACCGAATCGTCATCCTCAGCTGCCAAAGCATAAATGAATGAGATAAGATATAGTGATTAGCTAAGATAAGAATGGCTGGAATTCCAATCCATCTTCAGCCCTTTAGGAAATTATGTTTTAGTTCTTGTTTCATCAACAGATGGGGCCAGTAGCTTATTTCATGTCCAGCCATTCTTATCTTATCTAATCACTATAGCTTAGCGTTCATTTGTGCTTTGGCAACTGAGGATGATGGTTCGGCAAAACTATCGAATCTAATCTTGTGAAAATTTGAAAATATAATGCTGATTTTTGTTGTTTGACTTCTAAATTAATATTTGTTTGCCGTGTTATTGTATCTTAACTACAATAATATCTCATGCATGATGTTTTATACTTAAACTAAACCATTATAAAAATTTTTGTTTGTGAAATATAATACAAAAGGATGTACAAAAAATACATAAATAAAAATACAAAAAGATAGTAGACTAGATAATATATATATTTTATGCACGGAACCATTTCCTGCTAGTATAATTAGTAGGAATGGATAAAATTGACTTTAATGCTAGGAAATATCGACTATAATGCTAGTCAAAACATATAAACGATTTAACCAGTCTCAAACCGCCAAATACTTGGAAATATAAATGAATTGCAAATTATTAATATCATTTTTCTTGAAATAATGACATTCCTAATATAACTACTGGCATACATAAATTTTGCTATTAAACATATACCTGCACAAATCATCTGAACACTAGGTAATTGCTTTAGAGAGGTTTCATTTTACTATTAAAACCATATCATAATTTCAAATTATCATAATTCAACTGTGTAACAAAATTAAATGTAACCTGAACTTTCTACCAGACTGGAGGTATCTTACAAAGATCTTACGGCTCAGAATTCCATCAAATTTGTTAGCATCTATTCCATATATACATAATAATAATAAAACACTATCCATTTTCCTAAGGATGTAGTGGGAAAAAAAAAGGTGGGACATTTCTATATCGCCTGTTCTAGTGGGGCGATTGATGAAATTCAACTTGTGTTTTTCATGTCTAGAAAGCACGACTTAGGATATATTGCATTATATTTATATATAGCATTGTTCTAACATAGGTGTTTAAAAAAAAAAAATCGTACTTTTTCTGAAACGACATGCTGCTTTTTTTCCCAACGTTTCGATCATGTGCCTCAAATTATGCTAAAGCGCCAAGGTTCATAAAAACGGCCCGAGTAGATTTTAAAAAAATTTAGCTTCTCAGTGTTAAATGAATTTTGAATACTTATAATTATCTCTTTTTTTTTTTTTTTTTTTTTATTAAACTTGATTCCTTCTTTCAGAATTGAATATTTAGTTTCAGTCAAATGAACCAACCAAGACATTTTGATTTCTAGGGCAACAAGGACAGGTCTCTCATTATCAACAGAAAAGAATATTTCAGTTTCTTTTCTTTTAGTGATTGGGGGGGGGGTCCAGCCCCTGTTGTCCTCAAAATCGATAGAGTCTTGGCTAAAATATATGCCAATCAGAAGATTGTTGCTTTGTCTAATATTATGTTTTGGGCATATTTTTCTTCGCTCCTTAAGTATTTAACAACATACACTCAGTTTAATAATTTGGCACCTTTGATCATAACACGTTTTAAGAAAATGTATGAAATATGAATTTTATATTAACCTCTTACAAAGAGTATTTATAATAGATAGTCCTTTCTCATATTATTACGGATAATTAAAAAAATATGCTCTTTAACTTGCCAGTAACTGGTCTTCAAAATTATTGAAATTATATGATTTAGAATTTGCACCCAACATTAACTCTTTCAGATTGAAGTCACCCATAATGCCCGACCATTTAGACATGGGCAGGTCGCCCGAAGACCTGAATTATTTTCTACCTGGTGCTTTCCCCCATCACTTTAGTGCATGGCTCATTGCTATTGGGTGTTGTTAAATGGGATGCCAATCATTCTTTTGAAGTGACTAAAAGTAGTTTTTTTATTTGAATGTGCCTTTCATCTCCTTTGTTTAGCGTCAATGTTTAGCTATTGATGCCCAAAGTTGTAATCCTATTCTAAGTGAAAACGGCCACACAATAATGAAAGCGCATGAAGATCCCAAGAGAGAAGTTTTCACTTTACTTAAACAGGTTATTGTTAGCACTAGCATTCTACTTGGCATGAGGGAAAGTAATCCATTCCAACAAAAATACATACATAAGGGAGGATTTTAGATGTTTGAGTGAAACAGATTTCGGCCTCTACCAATACTATTATATAATTAAAATTGGTTCAAAAGGTGGGACAGGTAAAATTCTGGAATCTGTAGACCAAAATAGTTTGGGAGATGCTTTATTCCTATATCATTTGGTAAGCACATTTTAATTCAACTCTTGTCTTCCAGGTTTTACTTTAAACTTAATTTACAGTTAAAATATCTAGAAAATGAAAAGTAGCTTCCCTGAATGATACAAGTAAATACCTTTAAACTAAAGTTTTCAAAAAATTTAGTAAGAATACAAAATTTATTTAAATATAACTGTGGAAAAACCTGAACATTGTTGTTTCAACAATGAAAACAAATGTTTCTGGAAGGAATAAATTACAAGAAAGTAGAAAACTGTGGCTTTAAGGAGAATATCTAGAGGTTCAAATAATGCATTTTGCTGGGGTTTTCACTCAGTGCAGTGCAGTAAGTCAAATATTCCAGCGAATGAGCCTATACCAACAAAAAAGATAGAAGAAACATCACTGCAAAAGGCAACTGTTTTTTCCCCCCAATAGAATAGTCCAGCCTAATTTAGTGAAGATTCATGAATTTATCCAAGAATGTGTATGGATATCACCTAAAAATGTTTTCAATATTGATGGAAGTCTTTTTCTTTCATCTCCTGTCTAGCTTCTAAAGATATTCAATATCATAGACAAAATTGCTTCACTACTTTACTCTGACCTTGCTTTTCAAAAGTGACTATGGTATGTAAGCGAATAAAAAAGGGAGGATGCAGATATACATGCAAAATGCTTCCAGAAACATTATAAATAGATATATATATCTAATATATATGCAGAAAGCCTCCGAAAATCATTAAAGCATTAAAGTTTCTTGGGCAGTAAAGCCATTAGGAAGAAAACTAAAATAAAATAAAAATAAAAATTTTTTTTTTCATTTTATGCTATTTGATTTTTGCGATTTTAAAAATGAAAACTTTGAACTTATTCGGAAATACAGGAAATATCTTAATAAACTAAATGTAGCAAATGTGTAACAAATGCAAAAACAATTGTGTAAACAATGGCAGTGATAAAACTATGGAAAATTGATTGCATAAATATCATTCTAAATTAGAATGTAGATAATACAATTTTTTCATTTATATATCTTTTTTGAATGCCCATTGAAAGGCGTATTAACCATGCTTTATGATTAATATGCCTTTCAATAGTGGCATTTTCTCTTTTAATGCAGAATGCAGTTTTCAACAGCATCATAAGAAATACTCAAGGAAAAAGTATTCTATGAAAAAAAGTGCTATTCAAATAAATTAAATTAAGTTTTAAAAAAATATATGATAACATACTTAAAGAACATGATGTGAATGAAAAAATATAAATTTTTAAAATAACCATTTAAAGAAAAATAATTCCATCATGCAACTCAAATAATTACAATGAAATTCTTAAAAAGTAAAAAAGTAAAAATAATAATTATAATTAAAACATATAATGTGAAGTAAGAAATAAGCAAGAAAGAAAAAAACACAACTTTTTTTCATTCATGCACAGGGAAAGTGAAATAGATTGCTGTAAACTGAGAAGTTCACCAAATGAATTATTTTTGGCACAAAGTAAAAAAACGTGTGCCAAAGGTAAATTTCCAAATTACTGATTAAATTTCATACCAAATTTTACAAAATTTTGGTTTTTAGGCAAAATTTGAATGGTAGAATCAAAATATGAAAACAAATGGCATGTCATTTGAGAAGAAGTCCAATTTTGTATCAAAATACATATATTACAACAATGCTATATATAAATCTAATACATATCCTAAGTCGCGCTTCTGAGACATGAAAAATGCAAGTTGTATTTCATCAATCAACCAAGTAGAACAGAAGATAAAGAACTATCTCCCCCCCCTTTTTTTTTTTTTGTTGACTGGGTGTACATGAGTTTTTCACATTACACAACAGCTGTTTTTTCTACCCATCTTTTAGCCCAACATAGAAGAAATTATTTTTAGATTTTGCAAAACTGGGTTTAACATGTTGGCACTTGGGGAAGGAAATTTAGTGATGATAGAACTTTTGATAGTCATTGGAAGAAAATTCTCTAACATCGACCACAAAACATGGTTTGAAAAGTCTGGGTAACATTAAAAACTGTATATGTTGTTCATTGAGAAAAAGTTCAAAAGACTGTGTATGAAATTGAATATAGAATCATTAATTATTTCATAAATTAAACATTAAGTTATTTCCCTTCTTAGTAATATGGCATTTATTAATACATGTTGCTCTTTTATAGAAATGATTTAAAGCATATCTGAATGTTTAATGAAGACTATCATTCAGAATTTTGTTTTACTTATTACACATTTCGTTGATTAAATATTTATGAAAAAGGCCTATTCTTTGCAGGTTCAGATAACAGATCAGCCTGGAAAAATATGCCTTTCTCCATTTTTTGGTTCTAAGGGTAACTTCTTGGTGAGATCTGGTTGTATTTTGCTCCTAGTTCAATGTTCACATTTGAATATATTAATATTTAGGTTCTGATATTCCTATTAGAACTTTATGGTAATCAGCTAATTATATCATCAATAATTGTTTCATTGATGCCTGCTCATGTAATACTCTTGATAAATTTCCAGAGATTTTGCGGAAGGCATCACAGGTCCTTCTACACCCTTTTTGATGTAAGCTTCATAAATGTCCGAAGATTCTTTTGTTACAACAGGAAGTAAAGTACATCTTGTAGAATCATTTGAAAAACTACTTCTGGAATTCCTGAAAATGAAATATTTTTCACATGAAAATGCAATTTTGTTAATTTATTAAATAGATTATGTATTTCTATGAAAGGAAAAGGATAGTACAACTCAACAAATAAATGAAAACTTTTTCAAATGCATAAGAATCAATTTAAATAAAATTTTGAATTCAGAATGCAATTGTTCCAATTCTATCCAACACATGCACTTAATTTCTAGTTGATAACAGTATCCTAATATAATTCTTAAATTTTGTCAGATTAAATGGAAATGCCACCACTGTCATTACATTTGAACAATAACATATTTTTGCTATTATACTTAAAGAAAAAAGAGAAAGAGAGCAAGGACTTTCAGAGATGGTCACAGTGGCTGCTTCTCTATTTGTGCCCATAAGCATGTGAACTCTCCCTCCCCCCCCAAAAAAAAGAAGAAATACATTTTTTATAGAAAAATAAATTTAAAAATAACATTAAGTATACTTCAAGATCTTTGTCAACTTCCAGGATGAGTTTCTCCCTCCTTTTTTAAATATGCCAATCTATAGCCAACATACTGTGTTGTGGGCTACTATAAACACAGAGCACTTTCCTTGAACACATGAGCGATCAAAGGAATTCCTTGAAAACCAGTTTATAGAGATAAAAGAGTGAGAGGAGAAAGAAAAGCCCTACTGATACCATTCCATTCATGCATCTTCAGTGAGCAGGAGCGCACACTGTTTGCAGTTATTCCTTCCAAAATCTCCCTTGATTTGCTATATTCGATTAGTTAATTCTTTTTTCCATTTTCTTCTTATTTTTTTATTGTTATCATTTTTCAATTTATATTTTTTATGAACTAGTAAAAAGAGTTAAGATCGCATTTAATAAAATCAGTGTTTCCAAACTGAAGTAATTACATTTTTCAACACCGTCTTTGGAAAAACTGAAATGAAAATACTCATGCCAACAATTTTGCTAAACTTCGTCCAGGTAACGAAATGCAAGACAGGACATTTCAAAAGGGAATTCAAAACCGATTTATATGAGAAATGTTCATGGATCTGTGGATGCAAATCAACTGACAGGCTGTTTTGTTTTCCATGCCTCCTGTCTGCAAAACAGAACGAGGATTCAAGCTCGGTGAGTTGTGTCACATCTAACTTCGAAAATAAAAAAGCATGAATACTCACAATCACATTTAAATCTCCAACTTAGAATTTAATTTGCTAGGAAAGGTGGATTTTCGACAACAACTCGACAGTGCATTTTAGTCAAATATTAAAAGACACAATTAGAAAGTTGTCAAAAATTGTTGTTAACAAAAATTATTGGTTGTATTCTGTTTTGCAGTGCACTGGAGCTTGTATTTCAAGGACTGATGAATGAGATTTAATGAGAATTCAGTAAATCCAAGAGTTTTTAGAGGTCTTATCACCTTCTCGGCAGACCATTTAACTAGTGTCAATGTTTTTAAAGGAACATCAAAAGAAATTCAAAATGATTTATAGACTGCAGGCTCCTTGTTTGTCAAAACCATAAAAAAAATAAGACCTTCAAAGAAGTTTTGTTTGTGTAATAGTAGATGAAACTACTAATGTGCCATCCTCTTCCCAACTGGTTGTTGTTTGTTGATGCATTTTAAGTAATGGAAAACTGACTGAGAGACTGAGTGGAATTCAAGAATCCACTAGGGCATGATATAAAATCTATAGCTGAATGTACTCAAGCAAATTTGGAAATAGTAGTGCACAAACCCGAGATATAACATTGCAAAGCTATGACAGCACAAGCATGATGAGTGATCATCATGCTGGTGTTCCAAGCTTTTATTCAATGTATCTACAAGAATGCACAATTTGTACATTGCTATGTGCATCAGCTCCATTTGATTGTTGAGAAAGCAAGCAGTCAGAATCAGAAAGTTTGAGTATTTTTTCCAGACAGTGATGTTACTAACTTTTTCAAGAACTCTTCATAGAGAGAATTTTGTTCTGGATGAAACTGTTAGGAAAACGATACCTCATGGTTCAGCTATGGGATGGAATTTTAAGAGTTAAATCCTCAATACAGTGTATGAATACAGGGAGCACTTGATTGAAAGCATGGAAAAATTAAAAGTCAACATCTAAACGAGCTATAGCAATAATAAATCAAGCAGGGGCTATTTATCCTATGTTAAGGGCCATTCACACTCGGCTTTATCTGAGCTAATGAAGACCACTCACATAGCCGACTCATCTCCAAAACCACTTTTTCATCATAGCACAGTGAGTTGAAAAATCTGAACTGCACATATAGCGGAGATAGTCGACACATGGAACTGATTCTGTTAGCTCAGATAAACCCTAGTGTGAATGGCCCTTTAGAAGACTCAAAATTTGTGTTTTGACTTACAGTGCTTCACAGAATTATGCCACAGGTGAATGTTTTACACATACAGCTTCAGAAAATACTGACTGATGCAGCACTGGTTAGAAAGCGAGTAAATGTTTTCCAGCAGTCATTAAACACACAATAGATGCAGTGATGGAGGAGATATTGGAATTATATGAAAGTTCGAGAAAAAGGAAGAGAGAAAATATTCATATAAATAGAACTGTAGCTGCTAAAGATATATGTGATTAGAGCAGATCAGATTTCAGAAATATAACTGGTGCCATTAGTATTCTACAAAACATGACTATGTTTTCAGAGACCTATAAACTGTTGCTTATTATTGTTACTATTCTAATGGCCACTGTTGAAACTCAAAAATACTTTTCAACTCTAAAAACCAGATAAACCATATTTTTGAAGGAGCATTATGAGTTATGACAGGCAAAGCACTGTAGCCATGTTTTCAGAAAAAAAGCATGATAAATGACATACCTAAATTCAATAAAGATGTTACTGATTTGTTTGCCACACACACACACACACGAAAAAAAAAAAAAAAAAAAAGATGACTGGATTTATTTGACAAAAATTGTACTTGACTATTTTGTAATCAACATCAAAGATATAGTGTAAGCAATATTATGGTTTTATTACATTACATTGTAAGAAATAAAATATAACATTTTTTTTTAAACATAGGAGAACATGCTTTCGTTTAGTTACATTGTTTTCATTTAACTTACGAAAATGCAAATGTTTTTTAACTTGTAAGTTACATCGTGTCTGCATATTTACTTTCAGAAATTAGTTTTGTGAACTTCCATTTAAATAACCCACAAGCCACCACTGGATGGTTATAAGATTATCAAAAAGATACAGAGATAAATAAATTTACAGATATTTTTTTCAGAGTCTAAAGATGATCACAAAATGACCAAAAGGTTTTAAAAGCATATTCATACCTATAAGTTTTTTTTTAATCTGAAGATGCCTGAAACACCTTATATAATGTAATAAAATTTATGAGCATTTTTAAGAGGAAGAAGATAATCATATGATGGCCAAAATATGGAATACTACAGTAATAAATATGAATTTTTCAATCTGAAGATAACAAAATTACCAAAAGATTCTGAAAAAGGTAGTAAGAGTTTTTTTACAGTCTGATGATAATTCCTATCTTAAAAAAAAATCTAATTTTTGCACGTTTCTTAGAATATATGGGCAGGCAAAAAACCTTACAAGTGTAATCAGATTTATGAGTGACTTCTGAAGATAACCTTAATATGATCAAAATATCTTACAAAGCTAATCAGATTTCTGAGTATATTTTAAGCTGAAGATAAGTATACAAAATATCATGAAAGTAATCAAGCATGTGTCTTTTTAAAACCTGAAGATCAGCATACAACCAGAGACCTAACAAAAGTAGCCAGATATGCAATTTTTTTTTAAAAGCTCAAAGGGGCATAAGCCGAGAAGGTCTATTAGTCTCAACACAATATTTTGCGCCGAATTACTACAAACCACTGCATCACTTTTCAAATTGTTGCCACCAAATATTACAACCCTGTATAATATCTAAAGAAACTAAATAATAAAGAATCTGCATGAATATATATATTGTTACGAAATGTACAGGCGCGGTGAGATGGCTTCCCCGCAAAGCAGTTTTAGGGTTGTCATAAAATAGCAAGGGAAGGCACAGTTGCCACATTTGGCGAGAAATAACCCGTTTGGCGCCAAAATTGGCGATATGCCATGGGCAGATGGAGAACCTTCTGGAGCAAATTCTTAGCAGTTTAGCCCAGAATGTTCTCAAACACAAGCCTATACAAACCCTGTTGGTCAGCAGCCAGTTAGTGAGTGTGTACCTCGCACAGAGTGCGAGAGTAAGTGTCTCACCTAGTGAGCTGACAGTCAGTATCAAGTGAGTGTGCTTCATCGAGAGGGCGTGTGTGTGTGCCTCATCTAGAGTGCAAGTTAGTATCGAGTTGGTGTCTCGTCTAGCGAGTCAATCCCTGCGGAGTCGATCGAGTTGACAGCCGGGCAGCGAGTGCCGAGTGAGTCGTCGAGTGCACCGAAGGAGCCTCTTAGTGTATTGCGGTTAGTGCATTGTCGAGAGAGTGTGTTGAGCTCCGGAAACGACTGAACCAAAGAGTTGGGAGCCGTGCTCTATGTGTCGTCGAGTGCATCGTGAGTTGTAGCTTGAAGAGTCTCGAGAGTACGTGGAGTTCCGAGAACGACCGAGCAGAGTCAGGAGCTGTACTCTGGTGCTTTGCAGAGAAGCTGTCTCCACCATAATAGCTTGATAACCTGAAAGGCTGTGTCACTGATTGTGTCAGCATTGTTTATAGCAGTTCGATCAACGACTGTATACGTGATTTGCAGCTGTCCTGATTAATACCAGGCCAAATAAAGTGTGTTTTGATCCTTCATCACAAGTGTCGTTGTTCACTTCAAAATCTACAAACCGCATACGAATGTGAAGGAAAAAAATAACATAAGAACTGGTGTCAGAAAAGAAAAACGCAACAATGTTTCTCACAAGCAATGGTCTCTAGAATTATGATACTATTACACGCCGAACAAGTACTAATTTAGAAGTCAAACAACAAAAACCAGCGTTATATTTTCAAATTTTCACAGGACTAGTTTCGATGGTTCGGTAACTTTAATAATGAATTTCTGATTAAAAACTCAATCATTTCAAAGCAAGCAGTGACAACACTATAGGGAATAAAACACTTTTATCTCCAGCGTGTGAGACTGTCTCTATTGTTAATTTCTAAAGATATGCTGTTTTTAAATACTTTTAGCCCAAATGCTCTCAAAACATGTATATGTCTGTAAATGCGAAAAACACCCGTTTGGACATGATATAAAATCTGAAAGTTTTCAGATTTTTTCCTTTTTTTTCAACCTTGGGGTTCTGTGCATTTGCATCAGAGGATCTATAAATTAAATTCAAAATATGGAAGGATTCTTGAATTCCACAAGGACTGTTAAACTATTATCTACAATAACTAATCATTTTTTTCTATTATTATTGTTATCTAAAATAATATGAAGTGAATCTGTTTTTACAATTACAATTGCTATGACATAATAATTTTTTGTTTATTTTTTACATAAAGCGCATGAAACATTAATGTATTTTTAGTGCTTTTTTAACCTTTCTTTTTTCCTGAGGATATGACACTTTTAGGGATTTCACAAAATTTTCGTTTTTCTTGTAAAAATGACACTTTTAGGGATTTCACAAAATAAATTACAGTTTTGGTGGTTTTATAAAATAAATTATAATTTTAAGGGTTCAACAAACCAAATATTGTTTAAGGGGTTCCTAGTCAGCAAAGTTTGAAAACTGCTAAGTTAGATGAATGCAAGTTGCCCTTATTTATAAACTGAAGCAAAATGTGTAGTTTAAAATCCGGGTGCTTAGCTAATCAAAGAGAAATTTCAAACTACAACATTAATTAAACTATGCAATAATTTAAAATTCATAATTAATTTAATTTAAAATTCATAATTAAGTGATGAAATAAGAATTTAAAGAAATTTATTTGTGAAGATTTAGCAAAAATATGCAATTGTTGAAACAATGGTTAAAAGTAACCTATTTTATCATTTAAACAATCATAATTTTCCTTATTAATAAATGATTAATATCTTTTCTCTGATATATAAAGTATTTCTAAAAGCAATTACAATAATTTTATCATTATAAGTCTTTAGCCCATAATATATAATATTAATTTTGTTTGAAACATGGAATGTTTTTAATAACATTAACACTGATTTTTGCTTAAATTTCTCTTCTTTAAATATAATATCGAATTTACAAAGAAAGAAATAAAGTATGGGCAAATACCATTAAGGATACTTACAATTTAACTGCATCAAAAAATTTTGATTCTAAGTTTGCTTGTTCTGAAATTCCAGCAAATCTTCCTATATTGAAAAACCTATTAAAAGAAAGACCATTAAAGCAAATATAACATTACAAACTTGAGAGGGAAAAAAAAAAGAATACTGAGAAGACTGGAAATTATTGGCAGGTTTGGGGAGCATTCAGGAACTTAATGGTGATTAACTTTTCTCCAAAACAAAAGCTATTTTCAAAAGCTAAGAATTAGATGCTAAGAATATCATAAAAAAACAAACAATAAATAAAATTTAAAAAGCAAGAACCAGAGATAATAAAACGCTTAACCGTTTTGAAAAATTCTCCCCCCCCCCTGCTGTGGCTCTATAAACTCAGAGATTTGTTTTTACTTCAGTCAGCTTCACAGAATTGTGCAAACTTGGCATTGGTACCACATTGCACTGCACACAAGCTAAAACAAACATGTTATACAATACTTAAATTGTAACATAAATATCTTTTGCCGACATTGTGGATTGCTGCATAGCTATTTTGGAAACATGCTCTTTTGCCTCATGAATATATTTTCGTAATTTTTTGTTGGGAACATGGAAAATCAGAAAGTAACAAAATTTATCACAATATTCAATAATACTGAATACTAAAATAAATAAATAAAATGATACGATTTTAAATCCATCAAACATACCCTATATTAACTTTCATAATTTAAAACTTGAGAACTGATAATAATAGTTAGGTATTCAATGAATGTGCTGCAAAATCAGCTTAGCATAAAAGTCTTGCAATACTTGTGTTTTTTTTAGTGATTATTTTGCTCATTATATGTTAAAACTTATTGTTTAAATAGTGTTTCTTTCCTTAATCTTAATTCATTTAAAGCATTTCCTAAACTGATAACTTCCTTGCTTACAAAAGAATGAAAACAAGACATGTGTCTAAAAATTCACCAAGATCTGGATGTTATTAATCAGTTTGTACTAGTCATTAAAATAATTTTGAAGAGCATGGCCTTCCAGCAATTCTAAACACTTGGGCAGTTATTTTGCACATTTTACACCTTCTGACCTCAGCTTGGAAGATATTATGATATTCAGTTCTGCATGTCATTGGGGGTGTACTGTATCACACCTTCCACCAGAGTTAACAACTTTGATCCAACTAGTGGATTTATTCAAAGCTTTAAATGTAAAAACAGGAACTAGTTTGTGCAAAAGTTATTAAATACTGATTGTAAATCTCTAAACAGCAAAAAGTTACAAAACTTTTGAGAAAAACTGTGGCCAAATGACATGAAGCAAAGTTCTCAGTGACAATATTGATGATTCAATATCCAATCACTTTGTATTATTGGAGATAGTTAGAAGTCTTCCTCCAAACAATTTATTACTAATGCTTTAAAAAATTATTGAATAAGTTGAAAATAATAAAAATGAAGTGTGGAAGAGTTAGGTGATAAAGTCATAATTCAAAGTGTGCTGAATCCACAGGTAGAAAAAGAAATGCAGGATAACAATAAAAAGGAAAATTCCATCAAAATTACTCGATATCAGGCTGGTTAAGTGTTCAATACATCTAAACAATTCATTTCAGAAAGAAAAAAGAAAAAAACTAAAATATATAATATCAGATAAATATTCATATTCTACAGACTGATTTAAAAAGAAAAAAGAATTTCAAGCACTGGCATTAATGATGATTTCAAGATAAAAACTAACTAAATGCAAGTAAATTATGAACAAATTTATTTAATAGTAAAGTTGATTCATTAAATATTTGTATAGAATTATTATATGAGATTATTTTTTCCCTTTTTGACTACATTCTATAATGCAAAATAAATATTATATTGTGTTATTGAGTCCAATAATCTGCCATCAATGAAGTCCTGAATGTGCTGGATTATAATATTTTTGCTGTATTGTTTATCCTGCTTGGAACTGATGTTGTACTTTAAAATGGATTTAAATGACAAGGGAAGGTCAACAAGTACATTCTTCATTAATCATAGCCTTTGGCAGACAATATAGCTTCTATCATCTTTTCCTTCTGCAGATCTTTCAAGAAGGTTGATAGATTTGATGTGCTGCTTTTTGCTCAATTCCAACAGGCACTTGTACTTTTTGACACTCTAGCATAGAAGCAGATAATGTTGACTAATGCACCAATACAGCAAGACCACAATTCTGAGTAAGTTTCTTGTTTGGTGCCAAAGCTGATAATAATTCAGAAAATGGTTACAGTTTAAAATTATGCCTTAAAAGAACTAAATATTGTCTAGTTCTAGGTCATCAGACATAGACCTTTCTTCTTCAGAAGCAAACTGTCTTTCCAAAGATGAGAGAAGAAACAGTGATGTTTATAGAGAAATAAAAGTATGTAGCAAAGATAAAACAAGTATAACATCCTCTACCAAAAAAAAAAAAATAAAAAATAGTAATGAAATGTGAAAAATGTAGATGGTAGAACTTTGAAAGCATAGAGAGAAAACCGATTGAAATTTATGTTATTAAACTACACAAAGTAATTTTTTTTTCTTTTGAAGCCTTCAAAGAACTCTTATTTACCAATTGAAGAAACTTTGTGGATAATTTTTGCAGAAAAGAAGTCAGAATTTGGTTTAAATTCACCAAAATGATTAGCTATAGCAGATTTGTTCATTTCTCATTTTCAAAGTACATAGTACATTTTCAAGCACACAGTTGTTGTTACATATGGCTTTACTGGAAGGATCAATCCAAACATATAAAACAGTTCAAGTATCACACAAGAGCAATGATATATAATAAAAAAGAACAAACATTCAAAGCAAGAACCAGAACAAATGAACATGGGAACAAAAGCAAAAAGGTAAAAAATTTAAACAACAAAGAAAGAAACATAAGAGATGTAATCTTTACAAGGAGTTCATGAAAGTTCTGGCATTCCAGTATAGTTTCCCTATCTCATCCTGTTTCTGAGACCCTTTATCTAGTTCTGGGCACATAAGAAGATGTTCTGCATTCATGATGCCTGAATTAAAAATTTGGCATATACTAGATGGAAGGATACCAATTTTATTAAGCTGATATGCCATGCAATCATGACCTGTTTTCAGTCTGAAGTTTGTCACAGCCTCTTTACGGGGTTTTTGACAAAACTTTTTCCAAGTGCCTTGAATGTTAGTACAGGATTTGCCTGTTGATATAGTTAATGTTAAGTACATAATTAGTGTAATATTTCAGCACTTTTCATTTGGCCAGTGGATATTAGACCACACTAACAAGATATGGCATAAATTTCCGCAAAATAAAAATCAGAAGGCAGCCTTCATGCACCACAGAGCGAATTTTAATGGCATCTCAGAAAATGACAAAAAGTTTAATTTGTGTATAATCTAAAAAGTTTTCAATTCAGTTCTTCACAATGGCTTTCAAAATGCTAATATTTAAACAATTTCTTGGTTCATTGGTTCTTCCTTCGAAGAGGACACTATGATCGTTTACTATTTGTTCTGCCCATTCATTTCCTTACAAACATGTGTTTGATGGTAAGTTAAATAATTAATAATGCTTAAATACCTGAACTTGAATTTGTATAGACGGCTCTTTGGCACGATAAATAAGGACACAAAATAATTAAGATTTACACTATTATATGTGCTAGCAGAATTTTTACACACTTATATTTTCACTGAATGTTGAATTCTTCTATCTTTTGGTTTCACATTTGTTGCCACTAAAAAAAATACATATGCAATGATAAATATCTGGTGCGAAAACAGCCCCATTTTAAGAGAATGAATACATGCACAATAATAAACATCTGGTAAGAGGACAGTGCCACCTATAAATAATGATAAAATAAGATAAAAATATTTTAAACTTAAATTAAGTCAAAAGAGTAGTAATTGTGTTGTTTAAAATATTTAAACAACACAATTACTACTCTTTTGACGTTGGCAAAAACATTTTCACTTCTGACGAAGGTGTACCCATGTCTGATCACACTCAAAATCGATACAGTTTTATGCAACACTTACACCACTCTAAGGTGCTACACTCCCATATTTTTATTAATACTGTTGTGTTTCTTTTCCAATTAAGTTACACATTTCTCTGCAATAACTTGTTCAATGATAGTGGTAGCAAAATTTCCAATGGTTATTAAATTTTTAAAAATCAAATCCTACTTCAGTGAAGAATAAACTCCTGTTCCAGTGAAACACAAAATTACCACTTCAGTGTTCTGATAATAATTGCAACAAAGTTACGATCAACTTCCATCAAACCAGGAATGGATTAAACAGGTGCAATATGGCTAACACTTAAGTTGGTTTACTGCAAAATGATAGTCAAAATACTATCACTAATAATCAATACAAAAGAAAACTATCTATGGAAGATACAAGAAGGAAAACAAAATTTGTGGCATAACAGCAGTCATAGTATTTGAGACTTCATTTTTTCCATAACATTATGTAATTTAATTGCACATCTTTGTAATATATACACATTATGCAATAAAGAACAAAATTATCTAACGTAACTTTCTAAGTGAGTTTAAATTCAATCACTTTGTTCAAGTTCTCTTGTAAATATCATTTTAATGCCATTTAATAACTCAATTTTTTCCTTTTAATCATATTTATTCTTCCATTGTTTACAGTGCATTCTTTTAGTTTTGAATACTAATTTAATTGATGCAATCAAAGAAACTTATTTTTGAGATTAAATTGCTCAAAAGTAAAAGCAAATTGTAAATACCATTTTTCTTCTGTTTACAATAATGGTCTCCAGAGAGGTGCATGCAAAGTAATACTTGTGTGCATAAGCCAAAGAAATAGGCTTATGATCATTTCTAAGTGTATGATTATTATGTAGAGTGCGAGGTTCTCTCAAAGTAATACTTGTGCGCATAGCCAAAGAAATAGGCTCATGATCATTTGTAAGTGTATGATTATTATGTAGAGTGCGAGGTTCTCTCATTGGTTGCAGTGCCTTGTTTACAATATCTAAGAAGCTTGTAAAACAAGGCACTGCATTATCTATCATAAATGCACTGACATACACATTATAGCATATATTATACATTATAATT